AGGAGTGGCTGCTAGAGCCTCATGTCTGCTCTTAGAGACAGTAATGCCATTTCCCTGCCAAGAAAATGTGTAGTTATAAATCATGAATTATGCTTCTTTGGATTTAACTTCGTTTTTTTGTTTTTTTTTTAAAAAATCTCTTTCCTGTCGTGAGACTAAAGGAAATACTGCTCAAACTTTTCTGAGTTGAAAATCTTCCAAATTGTTCACGGTAGACATCGTTGCACGTCATTCATCACGCGCCTGGCAATTCTGGATGGTAAATGGGCGACAAAAAATGTCCTTCAGATACTGTGGCTATGTTTAAGCCCGCTTCAGATGTTTGCTGGCGCTGGATAATTATCAGAGTTCCTTAAAAGTGAGATGGGTGGCTTATAAATGGTAGATAAATAGATAGATAAATAGATGATAGATAGATAGATAGATAGATAGATAGATAGATAGATAGATAGATAGATAGATAGATGGAATTTATCCCCTAGAATCGGACATGACTGGACAGGGAAAACCTTTATCTTTTTTTAATGAAAATATTAAACATTACAGAATAGTGGTTCTGTTTAAATAGCACCTGGCAATGTAAAAATTGCCTGCTTTTAATTTAATCCAAACTTTTCCATGAAGGGTGACCATTTCATCTTCACTAGGTAACTTAGATGATATTAAACATGTGAAGACAGGCCAACAAAAGAAATGGGAGTTCCTGGATTTTATTACATTTTGGCCCCCAAATTTACTGTTTCACTTATACCGAATATTCTCTATTGGGCTATGGCCATAGGAATTACACAGGACAAGTGTAGGCACTTCATTTTCATAACGTTTAAGATTTCTGTGATAAACAGAGCAAAGTTAAAAGCTAAACCGTACAATGAACAATTAAGAGAACTGGATATGTCTAGTCTAATGAAGAGAAGGACTGGGGTGATAGGACAGCAGTTTTCCACTACTTGAGGGGCTGTCACAGAGAAGAAGGGGCTGACTTGCTCTCCAGAGCATCTGACAACAGGACAGGAATAGGTGAAAGATCATTAATGACAGATCCAACTTGGAACTAAGGAGAAAATTCCTGATGGTGAGAACAATTAATCAGTGGAAAAGTTTACTTCCGGAGGTTGGGGGTGCTCCATCAGTGGAGGTTTTCAAGAGCCATTTGTCTAGAATGGTACAGACTCTACTGCTCATACAGAGAGCTGGACTAGATGACCTCCAAGGTTCCTTTCAATCCTATTATTCTGTATTCTGTGTTCTTTTTCCCTCCATACAATATAGCAAGCAGCAACTTTTTGTGAAAATGTAGTTTAAAACGAGGAAACAGTAGGGGAAGAAAGCAGGATGAAAATAATGTTTAATTATGCTCAGTATTTTTTATTTCTAGGTGAAAAAAAAACATCTCAGAATCTAATTGGGATATTTTTTTTTAGCTTCTTTTTTTCTCCCTTCAAATGCCATATGCATATAGATTTTAATTTTCTCGTTCTATGAGTATCACATTTCTTCTGTGTTTTTACAAACGTTTATCAATGTACTAATAATAACATTTTTAATCTTGCCAAAGGATCAGGTTTGTGGCATCTTAGAATATAACATACTTAACTATGTTTTTAGCTTTTGAGTACTATAAAAGCTGGTTCTGTAATATATTTGCTGGTATTTCAAAGCTGTTCTAAAATCTTCCTTTTTGCTGTAGCTGATCGACATGCCTCTTTCCTCCTGGATTTCATGTAAATTATGGACTTATTTTGTTCAGCTGACCTGTTCTTCTAATAACAGCTTTCTCCAGAGATGGGGGGGGAGCCCTTTGAGTCTTTGAGTAATTCTAGGACCCTACAGACAATATGTCTGCACTCTTCAATCTAACTGGGGAGAACAAAATAATATATTCTATTTTGGGTCACATTACAAGAAAAATGTTAGGTTGGGAGGATAATTTTGTTTAAATACATGTCTTGCCTGGTGAAATTCTTTGCAAAACTGTTCAGCTGGGTTCACACGTTATTCTAAGGCTCTAAGCCACAGTGTGATTGGTGTGGTTTTGCCCTAGAATATTGTGCAGTACAGGTGGTCCTCTGCTTAGCGACCGTTCTGATGAACCTACTTTGGAATTACTTACAACCCAGATTTGAAATTACGATGGGTACCTCCTGCAGTCATGTGACTGAGTTTTGGGCATTTGGCAACTGGGCTGCATTTATTTAAAGTCATTTATCCCAGTCATGTGACTTCAGTTTATGACAGTTTTGCCAAAAATTGGAATTTACTTATGATAAATGATCACTGCAAAAAAAAAAGGTAATAAAATGTGACCGATCCAGTTTTACGACTGTCACAACTTACAACTGTGATGGGCAGGCTCTAATACATCGGACATTGAATAACTGTCAGTCAATCACTTACAGTTTCGTATGAGATCTATTGTGGCTTATGCAAAAATTAAGCCATAAATATACACAAACTCTTGCAAAATTTCTTTTAACTTCACACTGTTGTGAAGTGGTTTATTTGATATTGATTTCAGCATGGTGGGCCCACACACTTGGGATTTACTCACAAAGCATGGTTAAGGATTTACTCACAAAGCCTGCTTAGTGCCGTGTGTAAACCTGGTTCCATCTGAGGCACTACTGTAATCTCATAGGTGTAAGCATTTAGATTTCTGGCAGACTCTGATTGAACTAAAGCAGTGCTGTTCAACCTTGGCAACTTCAAGACTTGTGGACTTCAACTTCCAGTATAGGAAATTGTGCATGGCTGGTTAGGAAATTCTGGGAGTTGAAGTCCGCAAGTCTTAAAGTTGCCAAGGTGGACACCTCTGAACTAAAGAATAGGACTACAGACTGCTCATTTCAGTTACAGCAAATTGCTTGATGAAAAGGATGGATATCCATACTGATATCCACATTTCATCAGACTTCTTCTGTTTGTTGCGTGGCTAACTCTGTTGTCGATAGGAACAAGAGCGAATCCTTGCTTGGGTGTTCTACCAGCAAAGTCCACCAGGACAAATCAGATTGATCTCTAGCCTTGTGTTGGAACTGCAGAAACCAGACAAGTCATCACAACAGAAGTAAATCAAGTGTCATATGTTCAATATGCAAAAACCCAGTCTGTGAGGGGTCCTTGGTCCTCTGCGAGCTTGGCTGTTTTCTTGCAGACATCTCATTATCCAAACTAGTAACATCATCAGTGCTTCTGATCACTGAGCATTGATGGTGTCACCTAGTTTGGGTAATGAAATGTCTGCAAGAAAACAAGCAAGCCCAGAGAGCCCCAAGGACCCTTCATTTCAATCCTGAGCTACAACTTTTCTCCTTTATTGGAACCCAGTCTGCGTTGTAGCCTGTAGTTTCACAAAGACAAGCTTTTTCCGGATACAGGAATGTTGAGTTACCCTGAATTATTTTCTTTTAAATGCAGAGTTCTGCTGCGTATATCCTAGGCAGGGTACGTGCTACATTTCCACCAAATCTGGCACTGAGTTGTGTCCTTTAGCTTTCGGGGAATCTTGACTTGATTATTTTAAATTTTGAAACATTTATTTGCAACCGTAGGATTTAGCAAAATTCTTATAAAATTGCAGCACATGGGTGTGATTTAAAAGAGGAACAAAGATTAATTTTTTTATGGAGAACCTCCAATTGATTCTCAAAACCCCAGAATATTTTCTGATTTATAACGGTCAGAGTCCTACATACTTAGCAATTTTAATTCTTTGTTGTTTCCAAATGGCAGTTAGAGCCATTTTAAAAGGTCTTTGATCCACAGCTGCAGGGAGGAGAGGGGAAAGAGTACATGTGGGTCTATGAGGTTGTTTTTTTTTTATGCTGTCTTAAAAATAAATAAACATTGAACAAAGAACATGTTTGCAGCAAAGGCTTAATTGCTATGAAGCTCCTAATTAGTCCATCCTCTTTCTGCAATATTATATTACTGGGTTCTACCCAGAACAGGTTAAATTAGAAGCTGCATAATGGACAGTTCTCAGTTTGCAACGACAATTTATGTTGCTAAGCAAGGTGGTGGTTAAATACGTTGCACCTAATTGTATTACCTTTTTGAACTTGGTTGTTAAATGAATTATGTGGTTAAGCCAGTCCAGGTTGCCCCATTGACTTTCCTTATCAGGAGCCAGATGGGAAGTTCGCAAATGGCGATCACGTAACACCAGGATGCTGCAACCGTTGTACACCGTTGTAACTTCAATCAATTGCTAAACTTAGGGTTGTAAATTGAGGATGACCTGTATACTGAATCAGACACAAATCTGTCTAATCTGCTACAGGAAGTCTCCGACTTACGAGCACTATGGAGCCCAACATTTCTGTTGTTAAGTGAGACATTTGTTAAGTGAATTTTGCCCCCGTTTACAACCTTTCTTGTCTGCAGTTGGTAAGTTAGTAACCTGGCTGTGGAGTGAATCGGGCTTCCCCATTGACTTGTCAGAAGGTCACAAAAGGAGGACCTTTGCAGGACATTGCGACCGTCATAAATATGAACCAGTTGCCAAGCATCTGAATTTTGACCATGAGAGCATGGGGGAATGCTGCAAGGGTCGTAAGTGTGAAAAACGGTCATAAGTCACCCTTTCCAGTACCGTTGTAACTTTGAATGGTCAGTAAATGAACTGTTGTAAGTCGAGGATTACCTGTATTGTCTGGAGCCAACCTTCCTTAGTTTTGTTCTCTTGTTTCAGCCTATAGCTAGCGCCGGGCCTGGGGTTTCTCAGTCCTACTTGGAAATGCTGCAGATTGAATCTTCTTCTTCTTCTTCTTTTCTTCTTCTTCTTCTTCTTCTTCTTCTTCTTCTTCTTCTTCTTCTTCTTCTTCTTCTTCTTCTTCTTCCTCTTCCTCTTCCTCTTCCTCTTCCTCTCCTCCTCCTCCTCCTCCTCCTCCTCCTCCTCCTCCTCCTCCTCCTCCTCCTCCTCCTCCTCCTCCTCCTCCTTCTTCTTCTTCTGCCATATCCATTATCGGACGTTGACGATCATGTTGGTGATCCTGTTTTTATCAGCAGCCGCACGAAAAAGTGCTGCTGAGTTTTGTCCAAACCAGTCCCTTAGATTTTGAAGCCACAATGTTTTTTCTCCTGCCTGGACCTCGTTTGCCTTCAATCTTTCCCTGGAGGATTAAACGGAGTATGCCGTGTTTTTCTGGGTCTCGCATCACATGTCCGAAATATTCTAGCTTGCATTTTTTAATTGTTTTGGTGATTTCCTTGGGCTTTCCCAGGCGGCTATCCCCTCCTCATTTCTGATTTTGTCAACCCAGCTTATACGCAACAGCCGTCTGTCGATCCACATTTCAAATGCTTCTAGTCTCTTCAGGTGGCCTTCTGTCAGAGACCAACGCTCTACTCCACAGAGCAGAATGAATCTGTTAAGTTCCAATCCAGCAGCCATGAATTGTACCACCAAAGTACCACCCCTCCATTTCCTGCCTCTGCTTCTGCCCACGTCAAGCTTTTAGCTCTGCAAGATGCCTGTCTCCCACTCGTAAACTTTGGCTTCCTCCGGTCCTGCCGTGCCAATTTTCTTTACACCCTCGCAAGAATCTGGGCATGCACTCCAGCAAACTGTAGCGTGTTGTTTGGGGCTGAATGATTTGCATAGTCACTGTTGCAACAAAAGTCAGTTCCCCACTTCCCTCCTGGATGTGCTGGCAGACTGAACAAGACACTGACCTTGCTCTGGGCACGGGACCAACAGGAGAAAGGCAGCTTTGTTTGCCCAGTGCCCAGCAGTGTCAGAAACCGAGAATAGCCGAGATGCCCTGCTCCAGTAAGTCCCTGGACCAGAGAGAACCAAAGCTTTGCAAAGAATATCGTGTGCGTGGTGGCTGTTCCTCCTGCGGCTCAAACCAGCCCTTACCTGGGACATCTTTTGTTTGCACTTTCCATTTGAGGTGAGATGGGTGGCGATTAGGAAAGGACCTTATGGGGAGTGGTCTGATCCCATCTTTATGCGTGCTGCGTGTATTTCTTTTGAAGCTAACCATGGTGAACGATTTAACCCAATTTTTTTCTTTCTTTGGAAGGCAAGCTGAGCTGTCAACTAATCGCTGCTCACAGAGTGCATTAAGCTACATGAGGTTGGCTAATTGGTGTTTCATTATGTCAGTCCTCTTGAAAAGCACAGTTCAGCAAAGATTTTGGCAAGGGTGACTAACGCACAGGTTCCTAATAGTAACGATTCATTATTGTGATGTGCTGGAAAGTTGGCTAGCAACTGACGGGTAATTACATGAAACAGAGGAAGGAAGAGATTGTCCAGCTTTCGTGCTCTGAAGACCGTCCTTGAGTGTCAAAAAAAAAAAAAACCAAAACAGAACAGGGATAGGATTCTTGATATCCTTTGATATTCTTGAGGACTAGGGGTGATATCATAGCGGTCTTCCAGTACTTGACGGGCTGTCACAGAGAAGAGGGGGTTGACCTGTTCTCCAAAGCACCAAAGCAGGACGAGAAGTAACGGGTGAGAGATCATTAAAGAGAGATCCAACCTAAAAATAAGAAGAAATTTCCTGACAACGAGAACAATTAATCAATGGAGCGGCTTGCCTCCAGAAATTGTGAGGGCTGTATCCCTGGAAGTTTTCAAGAAGAGACTGCACAGCTATTTGTCCTGAATGGTATAAGATTTCCTGCTTGAGCAGACTGGATGACCTTCAAGGTCCCTTCCAACTCTGTTATTCTGTCTTCTATATTTGCTAAGTGAACATCCTCACGTACAATGGGTTTCTGATGGGAGATCTTTTATAGTTAGGGAGGAGGATGTGCTGACTCGAGAATGCAGAAAGTGTGGTCTCCTGATGTAGGTCAAAGCCCTTTTCATACAACAGGTTCATTCTCTGTTTACTCAGGAGACACAACCCTCAGCTGATCCTCCTGTTCAAGGTGGAAGACTTGCACCGAACAAGTTTTGATGGTGGTTGACAACTCCGGATCTGGCATGCTCCGTTCCCCAAATGTGAGTTTCTGTGCTTAAACTTGCCATAGTATTATTAGTATTCATATTGTGTAATGCAGTGATTCTCAACCTTTTTAATGCTGCGACCCCCAACCGGTTGTAAGTCGAGGACTACTCAACCGGTCGTAAGTCGAGGACTACTCAACTGGTGCAGCACCATTTGCAGAATGGGACTTTTGGCGGGCTCAGCAGGGCAGAGACAGCCTGGGCAATTCCTATTGGCTTTTGAAAGCCAATAGAATTAGACTCGATTCAAGAGAGTCTATTCTATTGGCTTTCAAAAGCCAATAGAATAAAAGGGAGTAGCACAGCTAAGGAAAAGGGGGAAAAAATGGCGGACTGCATTGTTTGGCGACCCCCGTGAAATGGTCGTTCGACCCCAAATGGGGTCCCGACCCACAGGTTGAGAACTACTGGTGTAATGCATAGTGATCCTTAAAAATAACAGGAAATCTGTTCTGAGCTGAGGTCAAGGATGTGGACTAGAGATCCCAGAGGAGCCATCGAGGCTTCTGATAAATAATGGAACTGCTATAATCCAGCACTGGCCCTTCGAGATAGGCATGTCCAGAATCAAAAGTAGTTACTCCCGTCTCAGCTTCCCACGGAAGGAATCATGATGTTTGGGATGGTTTGATCTCCAAAACAAAGGCGTGGGCAGGTTGGAAGCCCTACTACTGCTTGTTCATGATTTCCAGGGAGAGCCTGTGAAATAGGAACTAATGATCAACAGACAATGATTTCTCTGCCTGCAGGAAATTCCAGTTAGAAACTGGGGCATTCCCAGCCAAAAGGTCAAGAGCAGAGGGTGGGAAAGTCCTTCTAGTTATAACCAGGAGATCTAGATCTAGATCTAGAATGATGGCAGAGAATACTGGGATACAAAACAAAACAAAACCTGGACATCAACATTTTGCAGATCAAAGGCTTGAACACCTTTCTTTCCTCCCCACCCTCTGCAGGATTTGCCATATGCCGAGCAGCATTTTCATGGTGGTGGAGAACATCCTTCACCTGTCTCAAGAGGATCCAGTTACACGTCTCCTCCACATCACTCAAGAGCCGGAGTCTCTGCAGAAGCTCTGGGTCTTAGGCGGGATGACTTTTTCCTATCACACCTCGAGAAGAGCCCAACTATCCATAGTGGGAGTCTCGCCTCCCCTCGGGCCACATCCACTCCGCAGAGTAAACGGAACCCCACCTATTATAGAGTGAGTGTGCCTTCCTTGAGCCAAGCTGATGGGAAGACTGGGGTCTGATGAGTTACTTGTGAAGATAGCTTGTTCTCCAAGAAGGTCAGGCCCTCAACAGCCCAGCATTCATGCCCAGGTGTTCCAAACCAGCTGTGACAATGTCAGAACGATGGTGCATGTCATCTTACCCATTGCCATGCTCTATGTAATAATGTTGTAAAGCCTGATTGCAAGTGGATAAATCACACCGTCTGTGTGATTGTCATCACATACATTTTGTCATCTCCCCATTTCCTCCCAGTAACTGACTGGTTTTATTTGTTTAACTCAGGGATCTTCAAACTTGGCCCTTTTATGATGTGTGGACTTCGGAATTCTGGGAGTTGAAGTCCACACGTCATAAAATGGCCAAGTTTGAAGACCCCTGCCGTAGACTTTCAAGAGCTCAGTGCGACCTTGGGCCTCAATTTTAGGAAGAATTACTAAAAAATTTACACTGGTAAATTGGAATTAAAGTCTTGTTGTTCTGAAAGAACAAAGAACAAACAATGGAATAAATGTTCCCTCTCGCAAGATGATAAGAATAAAAGCATTTTACCCATCTTCAGCTGGAGGAACTTCCCTCGTGTAAAAAGGTATATACAATATAGGCAGAAGGCGTGCCTCAGATTGTGATTAGTAATGTTCCTGTGATGCACAATTGAGCAACGGCAAATATGTTCCCCTTTTGACAACGGAGAGGTTTTTGAAAGAGAGCAGAAGTTGGCTTACTCATGGATGATCCTCTTTTCTATCTGTCCTGTATAAAGATCCCTGTGATTCGCAACTGTGGGTCTAACACCCTCAATTTTGAATTCCACGATACCTCTCCCCGCCGAGTGTACAACGGGATATCCCAGCCATGGAAAACAACTCAGCAGAGTTCAGGTAACTCCGGCCAAGAATGGAAATGATAATAGATTTCCTTGGCAAGCAGCACAGAACACTTTGTAGTCCTTGCTGCCTTATCTTCCTGTTATCCGTTTGTGTTTGATCTTTTAAGTTTAAATGCAACTAGACCCACTTCTAAAGCTTCAGCTAGCTTTGTGGTCCTCTGTTGGAGGAAGAGCTGAGAGCCTTTGATTGTGCTTTTTGACAGGAGACCCTTGAGTAAAAGACAGTGTTTAAATTCAGCAGCACGTCTATAGCCAACACTTCCATTCTCTCTCTGTCATCCCTGCTTCCCTTTTAGGGAGTCATTAGATGGGATAAACTCAATTTCATTGAGGGCCACATCAGCATTGCGATTGCCCTCGGGGGGGGGGGCGGGTGTGTGTGGCCATGGTGGGTGTAGCTTACTAAGTGGGCGTGGATGGAGTGGGTATGGCCTACTGGGTGGGCGTGGATGGAGTGGGTGTGACCTACTGGGTCGGTGTGGCCAGCTCTACTTAATTCGTGTCAAGGTTGCCTGTGGGGGCCTGGGCAGGAATGGGACAGATCTGAAGGTCTCTGGCAGAAGGGGGTGGGACCAGGGCAGAGCCCATCAAGCCAGATATGTGAAGTAGGCAAGGGCCATTTGCTGGCCACTTCCAGGCAATGGTGCATTTCTTCATTCCTCACAAAGGGTGACCCCTCCCCAGCATGCACCCAGGGACAGGGCCGACGCAGCAGGGGCTGGTCCCTCGCTGTTTCTAGATGGCCTTGTGGAGCTAAGACTGAATGCGTTTCAGCCTAGATGGCCACCACAAAATTGTACATTGGCCCCCGGCCGGCCTGGGCCAGGGCCAAGGCAGAGGGGGCCGTTCCCTCACTGTTTCCAGGGCCACATGAAACCACTTTGCGGGCCACATCCAGCCCCCGGGGCTTGTGTTTGACATGTCTGTTCTAAAGGTAGCATTAGGAGAGTCAGTGGAGACAGGAATAGGACATGATGCTCTGTTAGATCTTCCTCTCATTATGATCTGACTGTGTCTCTCGGCAGCGAATAATTGGTACCCAACTTGGCCTGCTAAAGAAATTAGACCACTGAGAACTGAAGCGGCTCCTTCTCCTTACTTGGCTAATTCAGTCAATCACCCAACTGCGAATGGCGTAGCACAACCGGGCTGGTCAGCGACCTGGACGAAAGATGGCAAAAGGAAGGAGAAGCGCTGGGTGAAGTACGATGGGATCGGGCCAGTGGATGAGTCTGGGATGCCTCTTGCTTCTCGATCGGTGAGTCCTCAGAGTAATTGTAAGCAGGATGGAGGAGTCCACTTTTCAGTCTCCTTCTTCTCTGGAAGAGAGCATTATGGAGCTCGGGGTTGAACTGTTCATCATGTAAATCAGTGGTTCTCAACCTTTTTAATGTCGCGACCCCCAACCGGTCGTAAGTCGAGGACTACTCAACTGGTGCAGCACCGTTTGCAGAATGGGACTTTTGGCGGGCTCAGCAGGGCAGAGACAGCCTGGACAATTCCTATTGTCTTTTGAAAGCCACTAGAATTAGACTCTATTCAAGAGAGTCTATTCTATTGGCTTTCAAAAGCCAATAGAATAAAAGGGAGTAGCACAGCTAAGGAAAAGGGGAAAAGAAAATGGCGGACTGCGTTGTTTGGCGACCCCCGTGAAATGGTCGTTCGACCCCAAATGGGGTCCCGACCCACAGGGTGAGAACCACTGATGTAAATTCATAGCGGGGTCTAAGACAATTCGCCAGGGCCAACTCATCATGGCCAACTCGCCATGGCCAACACACTGCAGGACAATTCGCTGTGGGACAAGAGTTACACTAATGTCAAAGAAATGGTGAAGTGGAATAACTCAAGAAAGGATGCAAAAGGAGGGACAGAATGAAAAGTGAATGACAAAAAAAATTAAAATTATTTATATTGAATAATTAAATTGAATTGTTAAATTGTCCTGGGTTGAGTTAGCCACAGTGAGTTGTCCCGTAGCAAAATTGACGGTAGCAAGTTGTCCCATTCTGTTCAGAGTGTGCCTTCAGAACTCCTGGTGTGATGCTTTCCCCTTGGTTTTTGACAGATAACATTTCTGTTTGATGCTGCAGTCAGTGCTATGAAGAGTATAGATTGGTCTAAAGATATAGTTATTTATGTCTAATTGGTCAAAATTGGTGCAATGCATATATTTTTTGGTACCAATAGAAGAGAATATTTGCAGCTCTGGGTTGAATTGTACAGTCTTTGGGGCTGTCTGGGCCAGGTTGTTTGCTTGCAGACGTTTCATTACCCAACTAGGTAATACCATCAATGCTAATGAATATGGGGTTTGCTCCCTGTTTATATACAGTCGCTTGCCCTGCCAGTGTTGGTGGGGGTATGGTGTATTCCTTGGTAGTCCCTTAACTATTGTTTACTGCCTGATTGTTTGTTTGATGGTTTGTCTCCTTTGATTAAGCTACTGTTTCTGCTTGATGGTTTGTCTGGTGTTAATCCCTGCTTATTTAGGTGTTGGCTACTGGAAAGGATGAGTTCTGGTCTTTTTATTTCCTTTCTAGATAATCAAGCAGACATGGAATTCCATTTTTCTTCTTTTTAAAAATACAATCCACGGCCAAGCTGTCACATGCTGGGGACCTCTTGGATTAATTCCCAAGCCATGAAAACCTGGGGCTGATTTGGCAGATAAATGAGAGCCATCTGTGCAGAAATTAAAAAAAAAATGTGGCTTTCCAGATGTCTGTGAATTACCATTCTAAGCATCTTTTACCATTGGCCCATGGCTGAAGCTGCTAAGAATTGTAGTTCAACGATGTCTGGAAAGCTATAGGTTTGAACACGCAGGATTTAAAATTATCCAAATGTTGATCTGACATTGAGTGGTTTCTGTGGTGTCACTGACATGAAAATACTTTCCTTTTAAGAGTTGGCAAACAAATCTAATGCTGGGTTAATATAAGAGAGTGAAAATCTAATGCCAGGTTAATATAAACTGAAGTTTACAAATTGAAAGCCAATCTTAGGAAGAAGTGCTCTTTTGCTCGTTACCCATTACTCCCCAGGGGAGACGATCTCTTTCTACGTCTCTTAGCCTTGATAATAGATTTTGTATTTGCATCAAAGCTCTTATTCTCTTACGTTCTCTTATTTAACTTTAACTGTAGCAAAGGAGGAAGCTAAAAGAGGGCTGGTCTACCATTTGCAAGGTACCGTACATTTGTATAACATTTACTTTCCTCTACACGTCCTCAGAGTTCATCATTTGCCTGTTTGCTCTGTGCACAGAGACAAGAAAGCAGGACTCCTGGTAGTCTGTGCGTTGTGTATTACTGAATACAACATCTTCTTGCGCTGCTGTGAGAATCTTACTTTCCTTTTGTGTTACAGAATTGTCTAATTCCATGCAAAGATGTTGCCTAGTCCTTCAAGGTATGTGTATCTTTGTTCCAACTTCCCTTTTCTCTTGCTGACTTTAGATGCTTGTTTTGTATTGCAGAGTGTAGACAGCCCTAAGGACTGGTATCGCAGCATGTTCCAGCAAATCCACAGTAAACTTCCAGGTATGGACTTTTTCCAGAGCACCATATTAATTTGGATCAGTGTTTCAATTCCCAGAATTCCCCAGCCAGCACAGCAGCTGGGGAATTCTGGGAGTTGAAGTCCACACACATTGGAAAGGTTGAGAAAACAGTAATTTAGATCCAAAAACCATCCCAGTCATTTTAGACTCGCTCTCCATTTGCAGTTTAAAGCAGCATAGCAATGCCCTGACATGAAGGGAATCCGTTAACTTTAGTCCTCTCATATAGACCCCACTTCCCATGGACATCTCTCTTCTCTTTCAGAATCAGACCTGGATTGGGATCCCTACAAATCAAAAGGTAGATATATTGTTGTCTGCTTTTGAACATGCTCCCTAGCTATCCGCTGGGAAATGTTTGGTTTCTCAGGAAGGACACAGTAACAGCAAATTTTTGGGTTCTAGTGTTGAGAGAAATGCATAGTAGAAGAGGTTCAAGATGTTTCATTTATGGGACAAGAACTTGTAACAAAAAGGAAACAAAAGCCTGCCGGAATGGATCTTGGGGTCATTGTACTACACCAATAAAATGTTCAGAGCTTCTTGTGTTAGATCTATACTGTAGAAGCGACAGTGTGGGGTTGAAAACTGCCATCTGCGTAAAGAGCAAATACTGTATAGTACATCTGGGCTTTGTTCTTGACCCTTTAATATTTTCTCCTGACTCTGTGGAAGTGACTGAAGTGGGAATAATACTTGCTTGGCTGGGACAATGCTTAAAAGGCCCCCAGCACCCTAATGAAGGGACTGAAGACATCAGACATGGCTTCACAGAGACTTCTTAATGAGAAATTCTCATTTGGTTGGACTTCTGCCTGTAAATAGGCTATTAAGAAATGGTGGTCTTCCCACCATGGAAATGTAATGGAGGGATTTCCCTCCCACTAGGAAAGTGCCTAGTACAGGGGTAGGCAACCTTGGCTCTTTTATGATTCGTGGACTTCAAACTCCCAGAATTCCTAAGTCAGCTGACTTAGGAAATCTCGGAGTTGAAGTCCACGTCATAAAAGAGCCAAGGTTGCCTACCCCTGGCCTAGCACAACGGTAGGCAAGATATCAGTGGTAGGAACCGTAATGTTTTTACAGGAGGGTGTAGGTAGAATAAGAGGAACCAGGTGGCAGATGTGATTAATGTTGGGGTTTTCTGGTATTCAAAGAAAGATTTGGAGAGAGATTTCTTTGTGTCTTTTAAAGAAACGAAGCTATTTTAAATCCCAATTAAAAATAGCAGGAAGCTGTACTGTTCATGTTCAAATCTCTGAAAATCAACCCCAAACTGTACCATCCAAATTCAGCTGAATGGTCACGCGGACTTCTGAGATAGCCAAAAGAAGATTCTTGACTTGTTCCAGCTCTAAGGCTTTAGGTTGTCCATCGGTGTGTGTGTATGTGTGGAAGTTTTGAGAAGAGAGCAAAGAGATCATCCATTGTTCCATTTGATTGTCCTTTGATTGTCTGTCTCAGACAGCGATAATTTTGTCTCCTCCAGATCATGACCCTCCAGGGCTCATGAAGAAGAACCAACCTCCAGTGATGATCTCAAACAGTTCCTCTTGTCAAAAGAATGGCTTGGCTTGGTGAGTAGAAACATGGAAGATGTGATTCTCTCCAGTGTAGGAGGGCAACCCACCAACATACAGAGGGGTGGCAAAGCCATATGAACATCAGAAAAAATGTGGGGTTGAATGTAAAGATAGGAGATTATGCACTTTCCTGATACATTTACATTATACATGTAAGCTTATTTGGAACTCAATCTCATGCACTTATTCAGAAGTGAGGTCCATTTCAATTAGTGGGACTTTAGTACAAGTGAATTTGAGACTTAAGTATTTTGGGGAAGCATTTAAGAAGCATTCAGCAGGTTTTGAGGAAAGTAAACAAAGTGCCTCCTGAGATATTGGCGGCATCCTTGTTCCCAGATTCTGTGTCTTCTTTTCTGAATTAGTGTTTTATAGCTGGCTCTGGACAATGGACCGAAAAACTAATTAGACTCTCCAAAATTGGTCCATCATTGGGTTTAATTCATCAGTTTGAATGCATGCCTGTTCCAGTGCCCATCTGTGACACTAGAGGGAGATGTGAGATTTCAACATGAAATGGATTCATCTGTAAATGTATACATGCACGTATAAATGTGCCCTTGCTATTATCTCGATGACTTATGTCTCAGTCAATTTCAGCTGAATATGTGCATTGCTTTGCTTGTGTTTGAAGAGTTATCAGGTGGCAATGGGAGGTCCCTGTGTGATGGTTGCAGCTTTGCCATTTCACAACATGCAACATCCACCTCAGTCTACCACTCACCAAGAAATGCGGGTGCATTGATACTACCCGAAGACACTTAGGGAGGGAATGTAGTGGCAAACGCTCAAAAATGGCTTGTAGGCTATTGAAGCAATCCTTTGATGCTGGGAATGGTCCCTGCTAAAATGGATCTTTGCAAATACAAGGCAGGAAGTCATTGGGGTCAAAAGGGAGACAACGCACGTCATGCAGAGCACTTGAGGGTCTCCTACCATTCGTTTGCAGGAGAAATTGGGAAGCTGCAGATGCTACCAGCAACGAGCCCAGGAGCATTTTTGATTACGAACCTGGAAAGTCATCCATCCTTGATAATCCTACTCTGGTAGGTAGATCCCTAGTTTGGTTTGAGGCAGAGTATTCATTGATAGAACAATTAGTAGGCCCAACCTGCCGCCAGCAAGATTAGCAAAAATGTTTAAAAATATGTCAGATAGATGTGGGAAATGTAAATTATAACATAGACACGTACTATCACATTTGGTGGACATGTGGTAAGGCAAAGGCCTGTTGGAAAAAGATACATATGTGGTTAGAAAAAATATTGGGTGAACAAGTGGATTTTAAACCTGAACTTTTTTTACTAGGTATTATGCCTGAAAAGACTAATAAGCAGAAATTATATTTAATGTTACACATTACTACAGCAGCGAGAATAATTTTTGCACAATACTGGAAGAATGAAGGATTGCCATCAGAAGAAGAAATAATCAGGAAAATATGGAAATGTGTAGAGATGGATAGATAACTATGAGGTTGAAAGATAAAGAAGATACAGACTACTATCAAATTTGGAACCTATTTTATTCTTGACTAGAGGAAAGAATGAAAGATTAGGAATTGAACACGTGTTAGCATAGCAAACTCCAGACAACCTGTTGATTGGAAAAATTAACATAGGTTGATGAAAAAAAAACTCAATAAAATCTTTATTAAAAAAAAACAATTAGTAGGCCCAGCTAATATCTGAACCAGGTTTGGTGTATCACCAATCAATGGAAGTACAGTAACAGTGGAATATTGAAATAGTGATCTTGTGCATGCTTCTGGAGAGTCAACCTCATTGACCTCAAGAGGCATTAAAGGATGCCACACATGCTCTTGAGTTCAAACTGAATGTAAGGGAAAACAGATGAACAATAGCTGTAACACCATATGGAAAATTGGCCTCTGGAGTGGGAAGCCCCACCCTGTACTGCATCCTCCTACTACTCCAAGCCCAAGGACCATTGTCCCAAATATGAATTGTCTCTAACTTGGCATTCTTTTCATTGACGTTTTAATTGGCCCATTACAGGCTCAGAAGTCCTTCACACCATCTTCAGCACGATGCCCATCGCCCTCTCTGCCAATTGAGGTGAGTCCTTTCTGAAAAGCAAGGGAAATGCACATTTGGCCTCTGGCAATGTCAGTAGACACAGCCAAGCACGTGCTATCCACTTCCTTGAAAAAGCTGAGGATTGGGACGCTAACGTAGCCAGCGAGAGGGGATGGTTCTCCCAAGACGCCTGGAGTGCAGCTGTGTTTACTGGCTTCCATGGAGCAGGATTCTTTGTTATTTCCTCTCCCCTCCTCCTCCTCCTCTGCCTTGAAGATTGTGCTACACACAGCAAATAAGCTGCCCGGAGTTGCAGACAAGAATGCACCAGGTCAGGATTTAGAGCAAATAGGATAATGTACTATCTGTGATTCTACAAAGCCGGGCGCCCTTTTTATGCTAAGAGTTAAGATCATGTAGCCGCTCTCTTTTTTAAAAAAAATAGTCTGTGCCCATACCATTCAAGAAAAGACAATTTCCATGGTTAGTTATGATCATTCACTTTGAAAATCTATCTTCGACTAGAATTTTTTAAATAGGATTTTGAAATGTTGAATTTGGTATTCATGATCATGCTGCACTGTCACTGAACTATGCATGAGAGCACCCTGTGCCATTGAAGGATTATAATTTCTGTTTCTGAAATTATCAACTTCACCGTAATCTTAATTTCAGTGTAAATATAAAGCTTTCCCTTATTTACCCCAGCTGCTCTGTTTTTCTAACTCCTGCCTGCAATATAATGAATAACAGATGCTAGACATGATATTGGTGCCTCCACAAATGGTTTCCAGTAGGGTCTCAGATTCTTCTGAGGCCGGAAAAAAAAAGAAGACTATGAAAGACTAAAAGAATGGTTGTAAATTAAAACGCTTCCAGAGAACTTACATTCTAGCCAGTACAGATTCCAGAATAATGAACATTTTTATAGACACATCAAATTATCTCATACTTTCCAAGGTTAGTTTGGAAATATTTGATGCCTCCCACTTCAGGGTAATGCTTTCACTTCCCTCCCTCCCTCCCTTCCCTCTCTCCTTCCTTCCTTCCTTCCTTCCTTCCTTCCTTCCTTCCTTCCTTCCTTCCTTCCTTCCTTCCTTCCTTCCTTCCTTCCTTCCTTCCTTCCTTCCTCAGTCTTGATTCCTACCAACTACCTGGATAAATCCCTACAATTTTCTTGTCCAGATTTTTGGATGTGGTTTGCTCTTCTTCCTGATGGGGCTGAGAGAGAACATAGAGCAAGTTGGAAGGGACCTTGGAGGTCTTCTAGTCCAACCGCCTGCTCAAGCAGGAGACCTTATACCAGGGGTGTCAAACTGCCGGCCCGCGGGCCAGACGCGTCATCCCAAAACCGCGCCCACCCCATTGCCAGCAATGGAGAAAAAGCTCTGATACGTTGCGCGACGTCACGTGACGTCGCAAGTTTGATGTGCCTGCCCTATACCATTTCAGACAAGTGGCTGTCAAAAGGCTTGTTGAAAACCTCCAGTGATGAAACAGAACTGGTTCATGGTCACCCAGCAGGCTTTGTAAGGCAGGTCTAGAATTCAGGTCTCCCAGTTTTTGGCCTATTTCCTTTAACCACTACACCAACTGGCTCTCAGCCCCCTCCATATTGCACTATAAACCAGTAAGCAGGATTGTGTAATTCATATAAGGAACAGCTGCAGCCTAACCTGATTAAATTCAAAATGAAACCACAGAAGGAAAAGGCATGTATGTAATGCATTAAAAAAAAATGTTTCAGCTTCTCTGAGGTCTCTTCCACCAAATTCCAAACCATGGATATCAGTGCCATTCCCAGGAAGTCCTGAGTTAACCTAAGTCAGAGGTTTTCAAACTTGGCCCTTTTATGACTTGTGGACTTCAACTCCCAGAATTCCTCCCAATTCTGGGAGTTGAAGTCCACAAGTCATAAAAGGGCCAAGTTTGGAGACCCCTTGACCTAAGCGGTGCTGCCAGGAAGAGAAGCTCTGAACAAGGTGTCCTTTGGGAGGACCACAGACAAGAAGCAATGGATGGAAACTAATCAAGGAGAGAAGCCACCTGGAATTAAGCAGAACCTTCCTAAGAATGAGACAATTAACCAGTGGAACAGCTTGCCGTCAGAAGTTGTGGGTGCTCCATCACTGGAGGTTTTTAAGAAGAGATTGGACAACTATTTGTCTGAAAGGGTATAGGGTCTCCTGCTTGAGCAGGGAGTTGGACTAGATGACCTCCAACGTCTCTTCCAGCTCTATTCTGATTGATTTCAAGACACTTTTCCTCTACAACTCTCTTGTTCTCTCGGTCCCTGGCATTTGCACTGGTATCTTTGCCCTTCCTTCCTTCCTTCCTTCCTTCCTTCCTTCCTTCCTTCCTTCCTTCCTTCCTTCCTTCCTTCCTTCCTTCCTTCCTTCCCTCCCTCCCTCCCTCCCTCCCTCTCTCCCTCCCTCTCTTCCTCCCCTTGGGCAAATTCTCACGGTTCTCAATAAAATGTGTTCATTTTCATAAAATCCAGTTAGCTTAATTTCCTGGGATAGATATTGTCCCTCAAAATGTGGACAAGTGTGGCCTTTATCAGTTTTTGTCCTTCCTTTGGAAATATCCTTGTGGAAACTAGAACCTTGTGTTGCAATAACTAGTTAAAAGCAAACTATAAATATAAATAAACATAAAGGCTTTAAGCTGCACCCTGACTGAATGTTTCTCCATGAAAAAGCACTCTGCATATAGAAAATATTCCAGGAAAGGGTGTGTGTGTGTGTGTGTGTGTGTGTGTGTGTGTGTGTAACCCCCTCCCCCACTCTAGACATTTGTCTGAAGCATACTGTTTTTTACATGTTGGAATCTTTTCCAGTACGTAAGAGGCAGCATTTAGTTGTGATTACACATCTACAAACTGACTTGCAGTTTTACATTCCAAAGGAAAGTGACACCTCTCTTCCAGTCTCTGAATTATAGCCTTGAGGCTGCGTTCATGTGGGCACACTTTAACTGGCTGCCCTTTCAAACAAAAGGGGACTTGTGTAAGCAGGGTGTCAGGTTGAATGTATTGTGCAACTGAACTGCTTCGGTAGCAGTGACTACACCTTAACTCCACCCGTCCTTAACTCCTCCAGCCTGGCCCTCTGGCACTGCAGTGGGCATAAGTAAGCCTCACACTCTTCTCTCTTGTCTCAACCAAATAGCCCTGGGCTTCTTTGCTCTCTTACTGTGATCTACGCAGCCGGGCACCGACACTCCTAAAGCGGTGTATTTCTTTCTTCTCTGCCAGGAGCAGCTGGAGAAGGAGCTACAACAGCTCAGCGAAGAGTTGGACAACGATATTAGAAACCTTGAGCAACAGCAACTGATCCGCAAGGTAAACCTTTTGTTTTCCTATTTGCTTCCTCTCCCGGTGGCGTAGTGCACTCATACATTCCTAAGGTGGCTTGGCCTCAGAACCAATAACCTCCAGTGTGGCCTTCAGATCCCTCCCAAATATTGTTGAAACGTTTTTGTTTTTTTTTTTAAGGAGAGGAAAGGAACATTATTAAATGCAAGGGTGGAATCCTAGTTTTCAATATGTTTTATTAAATTGAAGTTTGAAAAAATCAGTTTTTGTTTGTGTAGGCCTTACTAACACAAACATAGGGTTAGGATGGCATCTCCCTTGTGATCCTGGGCTGAGCAAGGGACCCATTTGAGTCTTCCTATTCGCTCTCGGCACTTTCCAAATTTATTTGTTTCATTTCAGATTATTACTGACTTTAGAGGACCCACAATACTCAAATATATAGGTAGTCCTCAACTTATGACCACAGCTGAGCCCAAAATTTCTGTTGCTCAGTGAGACAGTTGTTAAGGGAGTTTTGGCTCATTTTATGAGCCTCTTTGCCACAGTTCTTAAATGAATCACTGCAGTTGTTAAATTAGTAACACGGGTGTTAAGTAAATCTGGCTTCCCCATTGACTTGGCGTGTCAGAATGTCGCAAAGGGGGAATCACATGATTCTGGGACACTGCAACCATCATAAATGTGAGTCAGTTGCCAAACATTCAAATTTGGATCACATGACCGTGGGAACGCTGCAACGGTTGCAAAAATGGTCATTGGTTATTTTTTTCAGCGCTGTCGTAACATTGAACGGTCACTAAATGAACTGTTGTAAGTTGAGGGTTACCTGTAATCACATTTAAAAATCACATAATCTAAAATAAAAGAGCCGTAGTTAGAATGCAGTACTGCAAGCTAACTCACTGCTCACTCCAGGAGTTTGATTCTGACTGGCTCAAGGTTGACTCAGTCTTCTGTCTTTCTGAGGTCGGTAAAATGAAGATTTGGATTGTTGGGGACAATAGGCTGACTCTGAAAACTGCTCAGAGAGGGTTGTAAAGCACTGTGAAGTGTTATATTAAGTCTTCAGTGCTGTTGCTATTACTATTGTTGGCTGTATTTTCATGCCTTTAACTGGAGTCTACCCAAAAAGTCTCATCCTGTGCATATTCTGGCATGCCTGCACCTGAAGTGCTTGGTTTAACTCTGCATGTAAAAGGATAAAGGAAACAAATGAAGTTATTTTAGGACACCTATAAACATAACAGAGTCCTTAAGTAAAAGGTTGACAACTGTAGGTATTTATAGCCTCCTGTTGATGTAGTCTTCTCTTTGCGTCTCTCCACCTGCATTTGTGTAATGCAATCAAATATGGATGTTTATTCAGTATTCCACAGCCATAGCAGAAACAATCGGTTCATAGGGCTGGTAACATTCAAGGAAGGAAAAAATAGAAACCAGACTATTGTGGTTTCTTGTACATAGTTTGTGTTAATGGATTTCACACAGTAGCTTCTATATCACCATTTTTCAAATATGTCCATTTCCAGATGCGTGAACGTCAGCACCCAGAATTCTCCAGCCAGCATGCTGTATGTTGTATGTTTTATTGGCTATCCATTGGTATTCTCAGGACAAGGAGTCCTCAGTTTACGACCACAATTGAATCCAACATTTCCATTGCTAAGTTAGACAGGAGTATGATGTGTGTGGGATATCTTTGCTTCCTTGAATTATTTGTAAAAATAATAAAGTGGGAATCCAATAAATAAAATACAGGCAAGTGGGAAAGTTAGAAATATTAAAACGTCACGCATTAAAGTTAGAAACGTGAGCATGAACAATAAATGAAACAGAATTCAAGAATGGTAACAGAATAGCAGAGTAGGCTGGGACCTTAGAGGTCTTCTAGTCCAACCCCCTGTCAAGCTGGAGACCCTTTACTATTCCCGACAAATGGCTGTCCGGTCTTTGCTTGAAAACCTCCAGGGATGGAGCACCCACAGCTTCCGTTCCACTGATCAATTGTTCTCACTGTCAGGAAATTTAGTAATAGTAATAAAGTTGGCCACCTAATGAGAAGGAAGGACTCACTGGAGAAGGGCCTAATGCTGGGAAAGATTGAGGGCAATAGAAGAAGGGGACGACAGAGAATGAGATGGCTGGATGGAGTCACTGAAGCAGTAGGTGTGAATTTAAATGGACTCCAGAAGATGGTAGAGGACAGGAAGACCTGGAGGAACATTGTCCATGGGGTCGCGATGGGTCGGACACGACTTCGCAACTAACAACAACAACAACAACAATAAAGTTGGAAGGGACCTTGGAGGTCATCAAGTCCAACCCCCTGGCGGGAAACCCTACACCATTTCGGATAAATGGCTGTCCGGTCTCTTCTTAAAAACTTCCAGTTTTGGAGCATTCACCGCTTCTGGAGGCAGGTGGTTCCACTGGTTAATTGTTCTAAATGTCAGGAAATTTCTCCTTAGTTCTAGGTTGCTTCTCTCTTTGGTTAGTTTCCACCCGTTGCTTCTTGTCCTGCCTTCAGGCGCTTTGGAGAATAGCTTGACTCCCTCTTCTTTGGGGCAGCCCCTGAGATACTGGAACCCTGCTATCCTGTCCCCCCCTCACCCTTCTCTTCATTAAACTAGACATCCCCAATTCCAGCAACCGTTCCTTATATGTTTTAGCCTCCGGTCCCCTAATCATCTTTGTTGCTCTTCTCTGCACTCTTTCTGGAGTCTCAACATCTTGTTTACACGGTGGTGACCAAAACTGGATGCAGCATTCCAACAGATTATTCTGAAATGGTTTTTGTCATTGGAGATTAGTTAATTTTAAAAAAATTGCAGATGTTTGTCTGCCTCTTCCAAATGCCTGGCTGGGTATCCCTTCTGCTCTAGACGAGTTGGCCTTTAGGACCCTGCTGTGTCCTGCCTGCCCGCCTGCCTGCTTCCCCCCCCCCCCTGGTTTTCCCAGCACCCTGCCTGGGACTTGCTTCCCTCCCTCCCTCTCTGCTGGCTAACTATTTTGTTGCTGGCTGGTTTCCGCCTGACGAATTCAGACTCTTCCCCGCACCACTCTCCGTGTCAGCTCTCTTTTTTTCCCCTTTCTCTCTCTCAACACAGAATCTCTCGGCTGGTTCCTCTGTCTGCGCCTCTGCCCTGGCCTTCCCTGCCGGCTGGTGAGTATGTGGGATGGGGTGGGGTGGGGGGAGGCTGGCATAACCCTTAGGTGCTGGCATGCAGGGTGCCCGGTTTGCCACTTGCTGCTTCCTTGCAGCTGCCAGCCGGCCACACCTTGGCTCGCAACAGTAGCGTCATTCCCAAAGCATCCCGGGTGGATCTGCTGCAAGCCTGCCTGGAACAAAGTTTGCGGGGAGGGGGGGGTGTCGGGGTGGTGGTGGAAGGCAAGGCAAGGCACGGCAAGGGGGTGCAGTGTGCTGGAGGGAGGGGGAGGAGGGCAGCTTTCCATCACTAAGCGGTCTCCAGATGCGTTGGGCTGCATTTCCGTTCTGCAGCCTGCGCGCAGCGGCCTTGAAGAAAGTTGGTTGTAACTGGAGGGTGGAAAGAGGAAAAGTTTGAGAGGTGGAAGGTTTTCATTCAGAAGTGCTGCTCCCTTCCTCTGGCAGGGAGGGGAGTTCTTGTGTGTGTGTGTGTGTGTGTGTGTGTGTGTGGTGTGTGGTCATGGATGTACGTGTTAAGAGATGAGTTGAATTCTTTTCCTGCTGAACTGAACTGAACTGTGTGCCACTTTTCAGATTCCTGCCAGAAAGAGCTTCCAGGTCTGGAAGCAATATATCTGAGAAGGTTTGGGGTGGCAGAGGGTGGAAGCGCCCTGCAGGGCATGACTAATTGCATCAGCTGAGTAGAGCAGTGGGGATCTGGCCCTACCAATTATTCCAGTGTTTCTCAACCTTAGCGACTTTAAGAAGCGTGGACTTCACACACACTTCTTAAAGTTGCTGAAATTGAGAAACAGACAGACAGAGAACTCTGTGAACCTCTAGGTCTGAAGCAGCAAGGCTGTTCTTATCAGGACTCATCCTGTTTTGCACATCCTGCCTCTCACGGGCAAACAGAAAGCAAGCAAGATCTGTTTAGGGTCACAGAAAACTGGCTGTCTGGGACTATGCACAGAGTGGAAGAGGAAATGTGTTAGGGGAACGTGGGTCAAGACTCTAACTTTTGATGCCCATCTTGGATAGCTGGCTGAATCTTGTCTCCTGGAACTGGTTCTGACATGGAAAGAATGGTGGGGAAAGTTCCAGACCGAGTCTCGGAGCTCCAAAATTAATTCAGGCATGGCCCTAAAGTATAATGCAGTTGCTTTGGTTTTGGTTTAGCTTCAGCGTGGTGAATGGACCCCATCATTATGGTTTGTAAACTAGGGTCTGTGATTTAGCATGTTCTGTGAAGTAGCTCACTGTGATATTTTTTTCAACCAACCAGGATTAAATAAAACATGGGTCAGAATATCATGCAAACCTAGCAGTAAAGAATACTGGAATATCATTACAGAATACAGAATAACAAGTTAGGAAGAGACCTCAGAGGTCTTTTAATTCAATCTTCTTGAGAAGGAGACCCTATAACAGTGGGGGCGAACCTATGGCACGCATGCCAGAGGCGGCACTCAGAGCCCTCTCTGTGGGCACGCGCACCATGCCCCGGAGATGGCAACCGTCCCTCTTCAACCAGCCGCCCACTAACTCGCCGAGCTCCCACGTGGCCAGATGCATCCCAGCATGGCTGGTTTCCCTCCTCCCCGTCCCATCCCTCTTGGCCTCGCATGCTCTCCTTTTCCTGGGCACGACCCACTGCATCGCCTCCTCAGCTGTTGGCCATCCGTCCAGCTCAGACGCAGCTTCTCTGAGCTGCTGGCGGTGGGCTGTGGAGCCCCAGAATGCACCGGTTGAGGGGCCGGCAGGCTGTAGCTGCTGACGGACACTGTCGGTCCCCATGCGCTCACTGGCCTCTGTGTGCGGGGGCCGATGGTGTCAGGCAGCAGCCGCCCCGGCCCCTGCCTCGCCTTGCCCCATGGCAATGGCACCCTCACCCTGCCTCGCCTCACCCTGCAGGACGAGCCTCCTGCCCACCGCCCCACCTGCCAGAGATCTCCTGGATCTCCCCTAACCCTGCCTGGCCCCCACAGATGTCCCTCCCCACAAGCAACATTGAAATGACCACGCCCACCTTGGCCACACCCACCCAGTCTGCCATGACCACCACAGCCACGCCCACCCGGCACTCGGCGATAAATAAGTGGGTTTTGGGTTGCAGTTTGGGCACTCGGTCTCTAAAAGGTTCGCCATCACTGGGCCCTAAAGCATTCTGGAAAAATGACTGTCCAGTCTTTTCTTTAAAACCTCCAGGGATGGAGCATCCACAACTTCTGGAGGCAGGTTGTTCCACTGATGAATCTTCTCACTGATGGTCCTTGACTTACAGCCACTAAGTGGCTAAGTGAGAAAGTTATTCAGTAAATTTGGCCCCGTTTTATGACCTTTCTTGCCACAGTTGTTAAGTGAATCACTGCAGTTGTTAAGTTAGTAACACGCTTGTTAAGTGATTCTGACTTCTCCGTTGACTTGGCTCGTCAGAAGGTCGCAAAAGGTGATCACAGGACCCCAGAATACTGTTAACTGTCGTAAAATGAATCCGTTATTAAGCATCTGAACTTTGATGGTGTGACCATGGGGATGCTGCAATGGTCGTAAGTGTGAAAAACAGTCATGAATCCCCTTTTTCGGTGCTGTTCAATGATTCACTTCAAACGGTCACTAAACGGATGGCTGTAACTCAAAGACTACCTGTATAAAATATCACTATGTCAATTTGTACCATATCCTAAAATTAATATTTTGCTACCTCAACTCCTTCCTCTTGAATATTTTCCAGATTCATTGTTGAGAGAATTGCTAACTCTCATATGACGGCTTTAGGACAGAATACCCGGCTCACCCTTTTTGGTCTGTCTGATAATCCGGTAAAATAATTCAAGTTGAGAGGCGGTGGCTGTTTATAGAACGCTCTTGAGCCATGTTTCTCAACTGTGGCTGCTTGAAAATATATGGACTTCAGTTCCCAGAATTCCCTGGCATTTGCTGGCTGGGGAATTCTGGGAGTTGTCCACACACCTTCAAGTGCCAAGGTTGAAAAGTGCTGCTGTAGACCAGGGGTCCCCAAAACCCGGTCCGTGGACCAGTATCAGGCTGTGGCATGCCAGCAACCGGTCCGCACAAACAAGCAGAGCCCCATCCGTCGGATGCAGGCAGCACAGAAAACCACGCACTCTCTGGTTCACGGATCAGCTCCCCGGTGCTCTAGACTAAAATGTGGTTTGGTAACTATAGTGTGACCCAGTTGGGACAGTTATTTGGAGAATCCTTTTGCAAACTTAGGCAACTGGCCTCCTTCACTAAGCCACTTGAGCCGTACAAGATCACTTTAAGTGCTTCATACTTAAGCAGGGATTTGGATTTTAGATTCCGTGCTCCCTCCCCCCACTGGATTCATTCCATGAAAACTCAATAACATCTTGCGATTACGAAAGATGAAATACCGATAAGTTCGTTGTCGAAACTGTATTGTCTCTGGGTGTGTGTATGTATGTGTGCGTATAGGCTGGCTTACACATTGTTTGTTTTAATAATGGCTTGTTGACTAATCCAGTGGCCAGGTTTACATAGCAACACCGAGATGTACACCATAACATGCAAGCCACAGTGTGGCATTCATACAACTTTCTGAGCCACAACTTAACCATCAGACTGTGGTACTTTTTAGACGCATGAAGTGAGTGATTGTTTTACTGTGGTTCAGGAATAAAATTACTGAGCACTGAAGCTCAGCTACTGCCCTTTTGCCTGGTTGTATTCTTATTCATCTTTTGCACAAAACAAGCAACTCAGCCTCCAAAAATTGACAATTTTGGTGCATGCCTCATCGCAGGATATAAAACTCAGTGAAAGTATCTTTCTGTCCAAGAATTCCTTTCTAGACATGATGCCTGTTTTGAAACACATTCAAGGCTCAAATCTTTGAGACATTTACAAAGTGAGCAGTGAGCAGTAATAAGAGAGACTGTTTGTATATACAGAACATTTCATGACCTGTTTACCCATTATAAAGTCATCCATCATGGTGGCAATGAGCAGAGAAATCCTGGATAAATTTCTGATGCCTGAAATGAAAAAATGAGGATCTTTTAAAAATGTACTTATTCTTCTATTGCTTTTAAGATAGTGACAAAAAGAAAGAAATGGATTAATTATTGATCGACTGTATTCCCATCTCCAAGGTGCAAAGATTTCTTTTCTATACGGCATGTTTCTCCTTTTACTGAAGGGGTGTGATAAGATTGTATGGAGCACAAGTGGGGTTGGTCCTAGTCAGATTGGGATATGGAATGTGCAGAGAGATGGTGGTGTCCAAGTTAAGCTGTGAGTTGGCCATGAAGCCGGTCTGATTTTTACTGCCTACATTGGCTGGATTGAGCTCGTTTCCACTGTGCTCTCATCTTCTCTTATTCAGCAGCCCATTGTCCGGCTCTGGTGTCCATCCTTTAGCCCAGCGCCCCACACCAGCCAGCCCAAGAATGGAGAAAGGAAGTCCGGGTGTCACCAGGAGCACCTGGAGCAACTCTCTACCCAGGAACGGTATGGCTTGAGGTTTACATGGACCAATGCGGGCACGTAATTCAATTCAACAGTTGAAGGGGATGAATAGATATGTTCTCTGGAAAGTGAGCTTGCTTTGCTGTCTTCTGTAATCAAATGCAAATCTCAGAGAAAGAGTCCCTAGAAAAGCCGTCAGGTAAAATGGATCTTCTCAGATCTCATATAGGAAGTGTTGTTATTGGTGGAATGGTTGATGCTCCATGTTTTCTGGACAGAAAAAAGATCCAATGACAGTTAGACCCCATCTATGTATCTTTCTATGAGTTGCAATCTCTTTAGAGATATAGATATGGAACTGTATTTCTTTAAGCCCTTTTCTTCCTTTTGGGCTGAAGATTATTCCTTCCATCACCACCACCTCCTTACAGTTTGACTCACATATTAATGCTAATATGATGCAAATTACAGCTAAGTCAGTAAACACACGGGCTGAAACATCCAATTCTGGAGATTTGCCATAATATAGTGGGTGGTCAGCTATTTTTGTTGCTTTGTGGATAATTCTTGCTAAGAAAGAGGAAAACAGCCAAGCTTCTTCTAAAATGTTTTCCTTTACTCCTTAATATAGATTGAATGTAGTGACACAAAAACATTTTGAACAAATGGACAATCTTTTTGATGCTGGGGAACCAAGTGGGTTTCTGAAGAGCAATCATATATATTGCCTTTCTGTTGGTTTTTGTTGCTGTTTGGGGATCTGTAGCCAATCCCAAGTCACTCAAAAAGCATATAGTGAAATTGCTCCCAATTAGTCCTTTTGGCTCCCGCCAACGTGCTCTGTTCTGTTTCATTTTACTTCCAGTTTTTTTTCCCTTTTCTGGACCAATGGACACCCTTCCAAAGAAAGAAATGAACCACCCATCAATCTTAATTTTGCTCACTTGGGTGGTTGTGTTGTTTGAGTGCGTGTATGAGTTCACATTAAAATATGTAAAATAAGAGGAATAATTTGCTCCAAGGAAGCATTGTAGACAGTTGGAGATGAATATCTCTATTCGGCATAGCGTGGATTTGCTGGTTTTTTTTTTTTTTTTTTGCAAAGTCTATTATTGAAATTTGGTTTATACGATTGGCTCAAAGTTAGCTCTACGTTTTCCTTTCAATTCAAAAGACTCTTTCTCTTGTTTTCTTCATCAGATCCTCTGAGACTTCCTGGGCAAAGTCCCTTTCTTGATTCTTCAGAAATCGTTCTAGATACTCCTCCCAAGAGAGATGAGAAGAAGGTGAGATGCAATTTCCACCAAAAGGAGAAATTGGATTAGATTGTTGTGGGCTGTCCGTCTTTCTCAACCTGGCTTCTTCTAGATCAGGCCTCTCCAAATTTGGCAACCTTAAGACTGATGGACTTCAACTTCCAGAATTCACCAGCTGGCATGAAGTTGAGTTGAACTCCACAAGTCTTAAGACTGCACAATTTGGAGACCCCTTTTTTAGATGCCTTGGGACAACTTCTAATATCTGAGGTGGAAAACCTTTCAACATCTGAAAGGCCACGGATTTTCCAATCTTTCCTAGAACGTTTTATTATCATGAGCCAAATAAGAAATAAGCCCTATTCATGCCTCTAGTTAATCTGCTTTAATTTTTCTGCTCTCACTGAAAAGTAAATTGATGAGAGACTTTGCAGTCCTGGTTTTTTTTTTTTTTTTTCCTTTCCGTGTGTTGCCAGTTTATCAAAATGTAAGTGTTTCTCTCTCCCTGATTGAAAGGATAACTTTATGTCTTGGAGAGGAATTATAAAACTTTCTACAGGAATTTGGCAAACACAAAACCTCTCTTGCATCATTGAGTGTTTGTCAGCATATCAAGAATAGGCGAGGTTAGGGCGTGAATTAAACATTAGAAAAGAGCTTAGATTGGAATTTCTATTGCTTAAGGTATCTATTCCACTTCCGGTATTCTAGTATAGGCCATACCAACATGCTTAGTACAGATAGTCCTTGACATAATAATGATGACGATGATGATGATGATGATGATGTTGGAAGGGACCTTGGAGGTCATCGAGTCCAACCCCTTGCTCAGGGAGGAAACTCTACACCATTTCGGATAAATGGCTGTCCGGTCTCTTCTTAAAAACTTCCAGTTTTGGAGCATTCACCGCTTCTGGAGGCAGGTGGTTCCACTGGTTAATTGTTCTAAATGTCAGGAAATTTCTCCTTAGTTCTAGGTTGCTTCTCTCCTTGATTAGTTTCCACCCGTTGCTTCTTGTCCTGCCTTCAGGCGCTTTGGAGAATAGCTTGACTCCCTCTTCTTTGGGGCAGCCCCTGAGATATTGGAATGCTGCTATCATGTCCCCCCTCGTCCTTTTCATTAAACTAGACATACCCAATTCCAGCAACCGTTCCTCATATGTTTTAGCCTTACAACAGTTCATTTAGTGACTGTTAGAAGTTACAGCACTGAAAAAAAGTAACTTATGACTGTTGTTCACTCTTATGACCCTAGCAGCATCCCCATAGTCACATGATCAAAATGGGGATGCTTGGCAACTGACTCGTATTTATGACGGTTGCAGTGTCCTGGGATCCCCTTTTGCGACCTTTTTACCAGCAAAGTCATTAAGGAGGCCAGATTCACTTAACACCTTTGTGTTACTAGCTGAGCAACTGCAGTGATTCCCTTAACTACTGTGGCAAGAAAGGTCGTAAAATGGAGCCAACTCTTTCACTTAGCAACCAAAAAGGTTGGGCTCCGTGGCGGTTATAAGTCAAGGGCTACCTGTAGTTGTATTCTTTGTTTTGTTGCTGTTTTCTTTTTTATGTTTTACTATACCGGCGAAGACCCCATTTTCTCTTTATAACGGAGTGCTCTTTCATTGGGTTTTGTTTTTAACTTTTTTTTTTAACTTTTAACTTGTTTTTCTCCCTCCTGTCAGATGAAAGCTGCTCGCCTCAAATTTGATGTCCAAGCGGAATCGCCAAAGTAAGTAGCAATATTTGGCAGCCTTGAGCAGTCATACAATACTTTGGTGTCTTGGCGCTGTTGCCGCCACGCTGATGAGTTGTGATTATTGTAGCGCAGAATTGAGGCCCAAGGTTGCCTTGAGCTCTTGTAAGCCTATGGCAGGGGTCTTCCAACTTGGCCCTTTTATGACTTGCGGATTTTAACTCCCAGAATTCCTTAGTCGGCCATTTTGATGAAACTGCGGGCTTGGAAATATGGTAAACGATAATCATAAACAGTATCAGTTGGTCAATGCATATCATCCTTCTTACTAATATATATTCAAAATAACATATCACATTCATTTCTCACTAGTTTGTTTTCCTAACCATCGATAAAAATTATCCCATGTTCTAAAGTAAACTGAATCTTCTTTCTCTTTAATCTCTAAAGTCAATCTATCCATTTCTGCACATTCTAAGATTTTCTTACTTAAAACCTCTTCAGTTGGTAAGTTTTCATTTTTCCAGTATTTTGGACAGGCTCTTAATTGTGAGAAGAATTTAGTTCGACTTGAATGTGAATCCTGCCTTTCTGTGAGTACTGAAAGCAGATAACACGATTTGAAAAACAAAAGCAATATTTAAAAGTTTAGTTTTTTAAAATGGCATTGGCTACTCAGAATAGAAAGGCAGGATGGAAACTGAGTAAACCAAACGGAAAAAGCCAATCTGCTTTCCAAATGCCACAAGATGCCTCACCCCACTCTAGGACACATGATCTGCTTGTGTGAAGCTTTGCCCAGGTCCTCCACGTCTCACAGTTTTGCTGCTGGAGTGGAGAATGTATCCTAGGGCACACCCGCTCTCCCCCGCAGGATATTTCCTGCAGCAACATAGCTTGAAAACCACAACGACATTCTTTGGACCCAACGAAAGTATCAACGCAAAGGGCTCCATTTGCCTCCCTCGTGGCATTAAGCCATTAACCTGAACAGGCGGTAGCTTGTACAAACCCAGTGAGTGACTTGAAGAGACCCTTAAGAGAATATTTTAACAGTGGTCCTTATGTTACCTGTTTCTTTTTTCAGAGAACTGACTTTGCAGAAAGGTGACATTGTTTACATCCACAAAGAAGTAGACAAAAACTGGCTTGAAGGAGAACACCACGGCAGGGTGGGCATTTTCCCTGCTAATTATGTGGAGGTAAGCTTCTGGTGCCATTGGGACTTTTTTTTTGTTGCCTAAGAAAAATTGAACAGATTTTGTATACCTATACTGAAGAGAGAGGAAATAGCAGCAATTGAGGCAGGGGGTAACTTTTAAGACTTCAGGATCCCCATTTGCTAAAGGGCAAAATTAGTAGTAAATTTGTTTCATTGTGCCATGCTGGATGTTGACAGATATATTTTGATGCTTCAGTTCTTTTGTTTTTCTAGATCTTTTAAGGCATTGTGAATATTGCAGTTATTTTGGAATTGAAAGGTTGTTATCAACTCTGGAGCTGTTCATTTGCATTGTTGTGGTCTCATAATGAGTTGCAGTGTTGTGTCATGGATTGTAGAGCCAAGGGCCACGGTTAGTCTCTGAATCAGCTGGGCCAGGACAAATGATAAGTGTGATTTAATGTAGACATGATAAAATTAGTTAATGGCATGAAATAATTGTTTGGATTAGCCCACGTTTTGAAAATCATTTTCTCACTTAGTGACCGTTTGAAGTTACAATGGACCTCCGCAAGACTACTTACAATCGATTTGAAGTTCTAATGGGTGCCCCCATCCTCTGATGACATGATCACATTTTGGGTCCTTAACATTTATGCTGTTTGTAGCATCTTGGGGTTATGTGACTGCAATTTACAATGCTTTTTGCAGGAAAGAGACATTTACTTCTGATTTCTGGCAAAAAAAAACAAAACAAAAACCCATCCATTGCAGAAAATGGATTGTAGCATTTGCTTAACAATCACAGCATTCACTTTTCAGCCACTGTGTTTGTTTCATGACTGCCACAAAATGGTTATAAAAAGGGGCGTGATCACGTAATTCCGGGCTCAATTGCAGTCATAAGTCAAGGACTACTTGTAGGGCCCAGATAATGTGTGGCATCTAGTGTTCTGGCATCTTTAAAGGTCGTGGTTAGTATTGGCTAGCAAAGAAAAGGGGCATTGTTCCGACATTCAGGAGCAGAGGACAAGAGTGTGACGTTCCCAAGCATTTCTCTCCTTCATGCCCTCACTGCCAAGGATGTGTTCCAGTAAAGATGCTTGGTGCTCAGGTGAACTCTAGGAATCCGTATCCCAGGTTAAAGCCATAACCCTGTTATCCTGCTGTTTCCTTTCCAATACAGGTCCTGTCTCCAACCGAAATTCCCAAGCCCATCAAAATACCCTCCATCCAAGTCTTGGAGTATGGGGAAGCGGTGGCCCAGTACAACTTCAAGGGAGACTTGGCAGTGGAGCTGTCTTTTCGAAAGGTATCAAAGTCCACTTATTAGCAGAAACATATATTCTAGTCCAGAGTGGAACCAGCAACACAAAGGCTTCAGAGCCTCCTTCTGTGGCCTGATTGGGCTCCAGGCCAGTTCATTCCTCTCCAACAGATGTTGGCTTGATTGGCACTCTGCTTCTCATAAATGAAGCTCTGAGGCAGCCAATAATATTTTAGTCCCTCTAGGAAAAATGCAAAGGGCACCTCCTGTGGTGATGAAAATAATGTGATTCCACTTTTGAACAGCAGTGCTGAACACTGCCACCTGAAAGAGGAGGGGTTGTGCTGGGCCAATAGCAGAACCAGTTTTGCTGAGTTGATCATCCTGTACCATCTTATCGCTCTTGGAAAACTCGGCACCAGAAATATTTATTTTGCTAAAGAGAGAAAGATGGGCCTTGCAGATGTTTTGGATTACTGTTCAGCTCTCCTATGCATTAATCCATCTGTTTGGTGGACAGGGATAATAGACAAGGCAGCTCCACTCCTCTGAAGACTACAATTTCATTTTTGTTGCTTTGTTTGAGCTCAATTGGGCATTGCACTTGCTCAATTTAAACACTTTGTTCTGAGTTCATCTTTCATTTATAAAGAGAGAGAGAGACATAGCAAATAGTAGCTTCTGGAGAAAGACAAGAAGAAGACATGTATTTATAAAGTCAAGTTGGTGGTTTGGTTGTTGAACCAATATTCCACTCCACAAAACTTATAATTTTTTTATAAACCTGAGGGACATTATAGCAGTAATATTTCAGGGAGGCATTCTCTTCCCCTGGGGATCTGGGCAATTGTTGACCTTTTGGAGAAAAGACAATGCAAAAAAGTAAATAAACAAACTGGCTGCTGTTACTCAACCATAAGAACAGGTAAGGTAGGATAACAGGTGGCCAAAGATCTTTCAGACAGAGTCAGGATGTTGTGGTTTGAATTATGGAGTTGTTGCTTTAATATTGTACACCACCCAGAGTTACTGCTATAAGATGCTGTTCCCATCTTACACATCCTATATCCCACTGCTGATATGGGAGGCCCTGTAAATGCACACACACAGAGACACTCACACACACACACATAAGTAAATATTAATATGGACCTATTGTGCCTGGAACAAGCTGGGTGGCCTTTAGCTTCAAAGCAGTTGCTGAGAAGGACAGACAATTCTTTTTTGGGTGTGCACTTCAGCCTCGGGCTTCTCTTACATACTCCCACGGCACGCTAATTTTTCTTCCCTCTGTTGCCAGGGTGAACGCATCTGCCTTGTCCGCAGAGTAGACGAGAACTGGTATGAAGGTCGCGTCCCTGGCACAAGCCGCCAGGGTATTTTCCCAGCCAACTATGTCCAGGTGGTGAAAGAGCCAAGGGTGAAGAATTCGGAGGACTATCCTTCCTCCCCTGGCCTCCCAGCCCTTGCCAGCTCATCTCCCCAGGCACATGCACCCAGTCTGGGCAGTAGGGGGCAGTCTGAGGCTTCCCCTTCAAGCCTGCCAAACGCTCTGGCTCCAGACCTGCTCTCCTCCTCCTCCTCCTCCTTCTCCTCCGCCCTCTCTGGATGTACATTTCCCGTGTCTCCAAAATTTGAAAACCCCGAGACCACAACTCACAGAATCCGGGATGCACCCAAAGATGGCTCTTTCAGTCCCCAGAGTCAAAGCCCGGGAAAAATGTCCAGTGGCAGCCCCCGGCCTCTCAGATCTTTCCAGATGAAGGACCCACCACGACCTGTTCCACCTGTGTTGACTTCCCAAGCACAGACTTCCATCCCGCCGCAGGTGAGACGCCGTTTCCCCCCATTTCTCCTGTACGGTGTAAGTAGAGACCAAGCATAATTTGTTACCCCAAGGCTTCACGATAATAAGGGGCTACTTGCTGGCGTGTGTCCCTCCTTTCATTTGGCATTCTCTTCTGGAATTACAAAAGCAGAGTTGCCGCTTTCATAATGGGGGCGTGCATGCAAAAGAACAATGCACATAGAAAGAGAAGGAGCTGGCACGGTGCCACTGCTGGCGTCCCTCTGCTTCTCTTTTCTCCCTACTCGGTGGATCCCACTGCCACAGGCTTCATTCATTACAATGGTAGAAATATCCTGGGTACAGCATCACTTTAGACCATGTGGGAAATTCCAACGATTTCCTGTTGTAGGGCTTGGCAGCAGCCCCAAAGCAATGAGAAAAGTGGACAAAACAAATTTAAAAAAACCAGCAACAACAACAACCCTTAGCAGGGGATAAAGTTTGCATTCCTTTCGGCGGATGTGGGTGTGAGCCTCTGCCTTAGGAAAGCCTAGCTAATCCTAAAAAGATTCCGGTTCTGTCTTGAAATGTCTAATGGAAACTAGAAGGATAATCACGCTTAGTATCCCTACAGGTAATCCTCACCCTATGACCAAAATTGAGCGCAAAATTTAAGTTGCTAAGTGAGACAATGGTTAAGTAAGTTTTGCCTCATTTTGCAGCTTTCCTTGGCACCATTGTTAAGGTTTAGATCAATCTTCCTTTCCTCCCATCTCTGATTATTACTTTCTGGTGTGCCACGTTTCTCATTCCTTTTTCTTGCTTTCTGGTGACTGCAGAATTCAGCCCTCGAGACAGTATTTTCCCCAACTGCAAAGCCACAGAGCCCCCGACATGCTGCCAGAGAGTCCCCCTCCAGCATCCAGTGGACTCCGTAAGTCGAGCAGATTCGCAGGGGTGGGAAGGGAAAAGCCGGGCTCCTGCTGGCAGCTGGCCAGCCCCACCGTCCCTGTGAAGTGACCCATAGGGAGGGGAGGAAGGAGGGGGGCTGGCTGTAGACAACCCCCTGGAGTGCCAGCCTTGGACAGTGTCTGGATTGTTCAAAACAAGGGCCCTTTTTCAGTGGGGCTTGCTCAGCACCTAGGGGAACAGAAGCCGCGGGCTGCTTTACCCGTGCCAAGTATTGCAAATGCCTGCTCGAAAGGCTGAGAGAAGATCAAGGTTTCCAAGCTGCAGGGTGTGTGTGTGTGTGTGTTTGTGTGTGTGTGTCCACCTCTTTCTCCCACCCTGAATATTTGGGGAGGAGGGCAGGCAGGTTGCTCACCTTTGCACATTTCTTTTCCATGCATGAAACACAGTGCAGTGCCTCTCATCTGTCTTGCCTGCAGAAGGATTTCAAGTTTATTTCCCTTAAGAAAAAAAAAAATCTGTTTTAATTCAGGTATAGGGAAAAACTAGTATGTGTGTACAAGGAATCCTCGATTTCTGACCATAATATCGTTAAGTCGTGATGGTTGTAAAGCGGGTCATCCCCTGACTGACCCCATTTTATGATCTTTTTTTTGTGATCGTTAAGTGAACACTGCCGTTGTTAATCACCAAAATGCAGTCACGTGACTGTAGGGGGGGGGGATGATGGCCATCAGAACTAGGTTGTAAATATGGTGCTACTTTGGTACTCATTGTTAATTGGTTCTGGGAAGCACGATGAGTGCCAGAACTGGGTTGTAAATACAGTATGGTGCTACTTTGGTACCCGTTGTTAATTGGTTCTGGGAAGCACGATGAGTACCAAAACTGAAGAGCACCAAACAAATTTTTCCCATAAAGAATAATGTAGTGAGTTGCAAGGCAGCTGACACCGACAGGTGCTAGTTATGCATTGGGTACCAAACTAGTTGTGTGTTGAGTACGGGGACAAAAATCTTTGCATCAAAATGCGTTGAGTACCAAATTGGATGAGTTTCGAAGCACCTGAGTACCAAGGTGTACCGCTGTACTTTTTGGGAGGTTCTAATGGTCCCTAAGCAACCCGTAGTAAGTTAAGGACTCCTTGTAGGTTGTTAAATAAATGAGAAGGAGACGTCCTCATCTGTAGTTTGCGTGTTCCAGGTACCAGGCTCTCTACCATTACAGACCTCAGAATGAAGATGAATTGGAACTTCAGGAAGGTGACCGGGTGGATGTGATGCAACAGTGTGATGATGGCTGGTTTGTGGGTATGTCTAGATTTGTGGTGACGGACACTTCAAAGCAGGGCGGTGGCAGATTTTAGTAGCTTGCAATTTTTTTTCCACACCTTGAGTTGCCTTTGGAGACAGAAGCTGCACTCCCAAAAGCAGTGGGCAGGACTGGCATAAAATCTACATTTGATTTTCGTTCCAGTTTGACTATAATTAGACATAATGCATATGGTTTTCCCCAGTGGTGTGTTTTCTTCACAGTAAGCCTTTAGTAACATCTGAGGGTTTCTAGGGCTGTATCCAAGGCTTTTGAGGTCTACACATATCCTGCAGCTTCAGGTGAGGCACCTCTGCCTTATTTAACAGAATAATAGAGTTGGAAGGGACCTTGGAGGTCTTCTAGTCCAACTCCCTGCTCAAGCAGGAGACCCTATACCATTTCACACAAGGGGTTGTCCAATCTCTTCTTAAAAACCTCCAGTGTTGGTGGAGAAGTTCTAGGGTAGACTTTTGAAGGCTGGCCACTGGCCAACTTTGCACTTAGTTTTAATTGAAGGCATCTTAAGAATAGTATTAAAAGGTAGGTGTGGTCAGTAATATTTTGTGGCAGTCTCCAAAAGGGATAGTTGTAAACTAATTGGTGCCCCTTGTTATTAGGCTGCCTATCCCTGATCCAGGATCTGAATGAGCGGAGGATCTCCCGTCATCTGGATTGTGCCCTGAGTAGCAATTTTACCACACGAAAAACCACTCAGATAGATTTTATTATTTATTTAGCATATCTCATCTACAGAGGTCGTGCAATAACTGACATACAACCCTAATAAAACTCATTACACATAAAACAAAACCCCCAAATATAAATTTAAATAAAAGGTCAGCAAATCAATCAATCTTTATTACGGTCACAGACCAGCAAAGCAAATGTACATATCAAGGACTTGGACAATACAGATGAGAGAGGAATATTGTCCAAAATATTTGAAGATGAGAGAGGAATATTGTCCAAATATTTGAAGCCGGGGGCATCAGAAGTAGCAGAGTAAGATATTGTGTTTTTTACAGATCCATTATTTATTTCAAGAGGCTTGTCCAGAATCTTCCAGGGGGAAAAAAAAATAATCTTGGAGCCTCATACCTCTTGTTTCTTCATGGGTCTCTCCTGTGTTTTTTATTTTTGCACTAGGGGTCTCTAGAAGGACGCAGAAATTTGGCACTTTCCCTGGGAATTACGTTGTCCCTGTGTGACCAGCCGTCTCTTCCGTGTGATGTGGCAACTGAATCAGCATAATCTGCTCTTAGGATCTTGCCTCTTTGGAGGAGTGCCCACAATCCACGGACACAAAGTAAAAGAGTAAAAGACACGATGTGAAAACTAATATTGGCCCCCAATATTGCCAGCTGGAGTCTGTATTCCTTGACTGTTATCTTTTACTTCTGCACCTTGGCTTCCTTGGAGAGGATGACTACAATCTAGTTTTCTTTTTCCAGTATTTAAGGAAGCATCACTAATTCCAGCATTCCTATGACAGATGTGGGTTTGGTTGAACAGAGCGTGCTGGCCTCTTGGCCGTGCTTCCGCTAAGTTTTCTCTTAACCCGGGATTCCTTATTTTTGACGGTTCTTATAAGAGCAATTTGAAGGTAGAGATGACCAGTCTGTACAGCTGAGCCTGTCCTAATTCTTCCCTCCAGAAAAATCCATTTTTTTTTTTTCTTGAAAGGACTATTGTTTGAAGACTTGGCCTATCAACCCAAAATCCCACACAACAGACGAGCTGACTGGGTTACCTAAGTACACAACCTCAGTGTGTGCCCCATAGGAACCTGGGCCTTTCCACCAGGAGATTGTGCCCTTTACTTAACGTCGCGGTCATCCAGGAAGTGCTTTTTCAAATGGCAACTGGACTTTCTTTTTTTTTCCCCTTTTTTTGCCTTGAAGACATTTCACTTCTCATGCAAGAAGCTTCTTCGGTTCTGGCTGAATTTACTTAATTCAGGCAGATAAGCCGGAGGGTTACCAGAATTAACATTTTTGTGTCTTGCATAACCTCTCTCAAAAGCTTTGTTGACGAACTTTGATCTAAATAACTCTTCCACCCAAAGACTCATGTAGAACTTTGATCTAAATGACTTAACCACCGTCCTCTTTCATGCTCAGCCCTGCAGGTAGATGCACTTTCTGTGGGTTTTGGGTGACGCCAGCCAAGGGCAATCGGTTGAAGAGTGAAGAGAGTGGGATAGGGCTCTTCCTGCATGAAAGGCTCAATCAAAATTCAAGTAAAGGCAGTCCTTGATTTATGACCGCAACATTACGAGCCCAAAATTTCTGTTGCTAAGAGAAAAAGTTGTTAAGTGAGTTTTGTCCCATTTTATGGGACAAAACTCACTGGCTTTCCCACTGACATTGCTTGTCAGTAGGTCACAAAAAGGGATCACATGACATCAGCACACCGCAACAGTCATATATAGGAATCAGTTACAAAGTATCTGAATTTTGATCATGGGATCATGAGGATGTTGCAATGGTCACAACTGTAAAAACAGTCATAGGTCACTTTTTTCAGTGCCATTGTAACTTCAAACAGTCACTAAACAAACTGTTGTAAGTCGAGGACTACCTGTACTCACTAGATAGGTTTAAAATATTGTTCCTGATCATACCTCGTATCAAAAAGAGTACCAGAAATTCCTTGTTCTCCTTTTGCATTAAGGTCCATGTTGACCACAAATGTCTTCTCCAAAATCTTGTTCCTATGTCTAGAACCAGAAATGAGGGACCAAAACAGTGTTGGCGGCATCTCCTGTCATAGATAATTGTGGTCTCCCTAAAGATATTTCTCATTTTCAGTCTTCAACTCCCAACTCTTCCAAATCCAGCATTCTTTCATCTCCAGAGACAGCAGCCAAGATCCAAGAAACATCTAGAGATGATATTTCTCCAAGCCCCTCTGCTCCAATTACTGATGACATCCATTACAGATGGATGCAAAGTTGTGGTAAAAAGGAAGGGGTGGAGGATTGTGTCAGGACACTGAGGCATTTATGCCTCCTCCAACCTCAGTGCCCTATAGCAGTGCTGTTGTGTGGATGGACCCAATCTCATGTCCTGGAGTCAAACCGTGAACATTGGAACCAGTCCCATATAAGCCAGTTTCTCTTCCTAATGTAAACAGTTGAAATTGTCCTTTGTTGGTAACAGCTTAGGAGTATCTTGCCGTTTCAGGCTCAGCATCCTACCTCAGTAGACCGCTTTCCTTCGAGGTCCTGTTGCTTTTCACCACATGTTTATGCTTGGCAATACTCCGCTTACGCTGAGTAATAAAAAGGTAAGGTAAGTTTGCTTTGGACTCGGTCTGAATGATGCTGTGTGTGTTTTCTCAGCTGCATCAGTCACCCAGAGTCCATGTCAGAGTCCATGAGATTGAGTGGAGGAAAACCTGAGTGGGTCTGTCATTCCTATGAGGACTGCTCATTTGTGAGGGAGAAATTAAAGGGGCAAGCAAGCTTTGTTATGGGAAGATTTATCTTGCCCACGTTCACTAACCTATTTGTAAGTAGCCATTGGTTTTTCCTGGTTTGAAAGCTACTGATTAAGCCTATTCCATAAAAACTGGGAGTCCCTAGCTTGACATATTTTGCAGGATGTTTTATTCTGAAACTGTCTAGCTTCACTAGACTTGTTCGAAAGGGTGTTTAGTTGTTAACTCTGGAAAAAGAGGTTCATAAATATATACAATTGTCCGTATGATTTGTCCTGCCAATAAAATTCTCACGAGCTAAAGCTGCCATCCGGTGTGGCATTTACTTTTCTTGCCCTTGAACATGCACAGTTTCAAGAGCCCACAAAGACATGAATGATTGTGCCACAAATCCTGAAGAAATGGTTGCCTATTGTGGCTGTGCTAAGGTGGGAGGTAGGCAGACCTCTGATGTACAAAGCCACAGGGAATTCTCTTACACAACAACGCCTCTCCTGTTTATTGCAGTGGCACACTAAAAATCTTCTGCGGGATTGGGTGTGCATGTGCTAATTTTTGGAGCACCGTATAGGCAGTGCTCAACTTATACCATTATAACTCAGACCAGAATTTCCATTGATAAGCAAGATTGTAAATTGAGTCACGCCAGATTTTATGACTTTTTTGGCTGCAGTCGTTAAGCAAATCAGGCAGTCATTAAGCAAATCCGGCTTCCCCCATTGACTTCGCTTGTTGGAAGCCATCTGAGAAAGTTGCCAGTGGTGATCACATGACCCCAGAACATTGCAACCATCGTTAAATACTCGCCAGTTGCCAAGAGCCCAAATTTTGACCATGTGGCTCTGGGAATGCCATGACAGTCCTTAAATGCAAGGACCGTTCATTTTTTTCTGTGCTGTTGTAATGTCAAATGGTTGCTAAATGACTGGCTGTAAGTTGCAAACCTACCTATAATCTGGATTCCCTGTGTCAGGTGCCAGTGTGAAATCTCTCTTCACCTCTCACTAGGGTTTGAAACAGGACAGGAGAGCTGAAATATCCTTATCAACAGGGACAAAACTAAATGTCTGCCCTTGGATCTTTGGAAGTCATTCAAGGAAGGCTCTATCGAGCCTTGAACATTGTCTGCAGCTTTAAGATCAAACTGCCACATTATCTCTCAAGGATGACCAAACATCTCTTTTGCACAATCTACCAGGGAAGCAGAAAGTCTGCCACAAGGTACAAGAATATGGCAGTTAAAAATGGGAGCCTATAAAGATCGCTGCAATTTATTTGGACTTTTCACCATTTGTCTCCTGTTTCAAGTGTACAGTACCGCAGAGGGGAAAAAAATGGGAAAAATAAATTGTGCTGTGAAAATAAATAAATAAGGAAAGGTAAACATAGTGAAAAGAGCAAAGTCTGATCAGGAAAGGGGGAAAAAATCAGTATTTATATTGATGTTATGGCATAATTGACATCTGATTCTTTTTCTGCCCCTTTAGACAGGCTGATTGGAAGGAATGGGAAAAGCTTCCCAGTTTCTTACTAAATTGCAATTAGGACTGCAAATACGCTGCAAACTGAGTTGACTTTCTCAAATGCTGCCTTCCTTTTTCAGTTTTGTGTGTTTTCTTTTTCCTCGGCGGTTTTCCAGAATCAAAGCAAAACACTCCTCTGCAGGTTTCATCAGTCTGATGTCCTCCCTGATCCCAAACAAAACCAGAGGCTTGTTTTTCAGCTGCAGAATGTACACAGAGCTTAGCACACAAAGAGGCAGAACAACACACCTGGGCTTGGCTGCCTTTCTTTCAGCTGATGTGCCTGAGCTCCTGTCACTGCAGAGTTCTACAGACCTTTATTGGCCAACTCTAAGACCCAGATGGAGTTTGACTTTAGCCCTGCACAAACAATTTGCCTTCAGCTGTATACATGTCCTTTCCCCCCATCCCCATCACTCAAATCCTTATTCAGAGAGGTGGTCTGCTCTATTTCTGAGAGTACTACCCCACATAAAGAAAGGGGCCCATTTCTTTGTCAGAAATGTCCTTACGGTTGGGCTTGTTCGTGGATTTTGCACCCAAGACATGCTAAGCTATAAAGTTCAATTAACCGCTTTGTTGTTGTTGTTGTGAAGTCGTGTCTGACCCATTGCAACCCCATGGACAATGTTCCTCCAGGTCTTCCTGTCCTCTACCATCTTCTGGAGTCCATTTAAGTTCACACCTACTGCCATCTCATTCTCTGTCGTCCCCTTCTCTTGCCCTCCATCTTTCCCAGCATTAGGCCCTTCTCATTAGGTGGCCAAAGTATTTGAGTTTCAACTTCAGGATCTGGCCTTCTAAAGAGCAGTTGGGGTTGATCTCCTCTAGGACTGATCGGTTTGAACGCCTTGCAGTTCAGGGGACTCGCAGGAGTCTTCTCCAGCACCATAGTTCAAAGGCCTCCATTCTTTGGCACTCAGCCTTTCTTATGGTCCAACTTTCACAGCCATACATTGCAACTGGGAAAACCATGGCCTGGACTATACGCACACCTTTCCATATACCTCTCAACTTGACTTTTGCCATTTATGCCCTTGTATGTTCATTTTGCAAAGGATAAAGCAAGTGATTTTTCTTTAATTGGAAAGAAGATCCCTAAGGAGAGAGAGGGAAGAGAAAGGCTCTTTGGTTTGAGTGCGACAAGTTACAAATTATCACCGAATCCCATAGCACTCATCCTGGCTTTATTTGGCTTTCATCCTTTCCGTAGTCAACATCATCTCCGTGTGTTCCTTACGAATGCAGCTTAGAGCGTCATTTGGGAAATTTTTCAAGAAAACACTATGATAGCGGAAAGACCCTGCTAGCCAAAATGGCTAATGGAAAAAAAAAAAAGACAAGGCAAATCATTTTGAACCCAACCCCTTCACTGTTGACCAGTAAAAACCAGGAAGAGGTCTCTCCATCTTTGTCTTACTGCCTAAGAAGGAAAAACTATGTGATTGACAGCAGGGTATCTCAATGGGAAATTTTGCCCAGAGCTGCTTTGGATAATGAGATGCTGGCAATTTAATAAATAAACAATGTGCCTCTTGTACATGATGTTATTTTGGCATCTTATTGACAGTTGCTTCTCCCCACCTGAGTTGTATTAGATTTTATTTTATTTTATTTTTTTGTATTCGGATCGAATGTTTTAAGAGTTGGGCTTTTTTTGGTTATTGTGTAGATGTGGGTTTTTTTCCCCTCTGTTGTTTTGACAGCTTATTCTCCAACCTGGGACAGTCTCACTAGAATTTTTCTTGCATTGGGATCTGATGTTTTAAAGTTGAGCTTTTTGTTTTGTTATTGTGTAAATATGTTTTTTTTCCTCTACTGTATTTTTTTTATTGAAAAGCAAAACTCAAGAAAAGCTTATTTAAACAACCTGTTTACAAATAACTCAAGGTGGCAATCATATCCATCACACCTTCCTCCTTTGTGCCTGGCTGAGGAATTCTGGGAGTTGAAGTCCACAAGTCATAAAAGGGCCAAGTTTGAAGACCCCTGCACTAGACCAAACTTGAACCAGACTTGATTCTAGATGACTGTAAAAATGAAAGCCGGTGTGTTCTCTTGCTATCTTTAAATGAAGACATCTGTGCTTTGATGTGTAGAAACCCCATATTCGTACTGCAATTGCGTTAACATATACCCAATGGATGAAATTATATCATTCTTCAACCTTTTGAATCAGATCCTGTATCCTTGCTTCTTTTAAAGCTGCAACTTTAAGAATTCTTCCATGTAAGAAAATCCCATTTTCTCTAAACGTTAATATGATCAGCATCGCCTTGATTCATTTTCCATTTGAACATTTCAAGTCCATTTAATCCATTGAATTTTTAACTTAGCTCTTTCACCGTCATCAGTTCTGGCCTGTCTTGGCTGGAGGTACATTCCAGGTTAATTTCCAAACGTATATAAACAAAACCATGTAAATGTTAAAGTCCATACACATTTGCTTTCCTACCCTTAAAATGCTGCAATGATATTCCTTTAGTAGATAAAAATCAGCTTTGCAAAGGACACCATGAATGTCACTTCAAGCAGCGCATTTGCAAAAGGAAAATATGAGACGTCAGCCGGTGCTAAAAATCTTGTGGTTCTTAATAGTGAACACCCACACTCTTTTTAAAGATTTTTTTTTTTAAAAATCCTTTTACCCTCTGAAACTTGACAACCCTATTTCTTAGGCTTAATGGATTTCTAAGTGGGGGGATCAAACACATATAATAGGATTTACACCGTAATTTGTAACAGGCAAGCATTTTAGCAGTGCAGTAAGTGATTAAATTTAGCAGAAGGCAAAATACGTTCTCTATTCTCTCTGCTTCAACTTTTCATGTAATTTCTAAAACTGCATGGCTGAAAACTTACAAGGAAGCAAAGCACCATTAATAACCCGCACCAATGTATTAGTCTTTAAGGTGCCGTAAGATCCTCTGAGGTTAGCGCTACCTACTGGCTCACAAAAGACATGTCTTTTTGGAAGATGCTTCAGGTCAAGCAACCAGCAGTTGAAGTCCACAAGTCTTAAAAAGTTGCCAAGACTGAGTTTAATACATCTGGAAGGTGCGCAGTTTGTAGGTTTTACTTGTCAAAAAGTATAACATTTAAGGCAGTGGTTCTCAACCTGTGGGTCGGGACCCCATTTGGGGTCGAATGACCATTTCACGGGAATCACCAAACCATGCTGTCCGCCATTTTTTCCCTTTTCCCTAGCTGGACTACTCCCTCTTATTGGTGGCCACACCCACTTGGGGGTCACTACAACATGGGGAACTGTATTATGGGGTCACGGCATTAGAAAGGTTGAGAATCACTGATTTAAGGTAATAATTTAAGTACAAGGCTCCATCAGACAAGTGCTCCCACTCTTAGAGCATCCTAACTCCAGAGAGTTGGTTAAAAGATTTCCCCAACTTTACTCATCAAGCTGGCAGAAAAGACCATTGTGGTCACAGCCTAAAAAGGTTGCGTAGCCGTACTTTAAACAAAAATTAGTTGCGTACCACATGCTAAAGTGTGGTCAGCTACTTTGTGGTGCCGTATGGTTAGTTTATGGTGGTGCCTATTGTAAACCTTTAGTTCAATAAATCACCGAGGTCAGACAATGTTGTTTTACTTGAGAATGGGTTAGTCGTGATATATCAACACAGCTAAAGTCTTGCACTTATTCAGTTACATGAAGACTGAGTGGGTATTCTGTTGGATTTACAGACACCTACCGGAAGTTATACAGTACTTCGCCAAGTCAACGGGGGAAGCCAGATTTGCTTAACACCCGTGTTCCTAATTTAA